ATGTTTTAAAATACTCATACTGCGTTTGTTTTTTACCGTCATGCTTTAAAAAAAAAAACGCTGAAAAATCATATTTCTCATTAGTTTTAAAAGGATAGCTAACCCACAACTACCTTTTCTGATATCATTTTCTCACCTTGGTCAAAACTGAATATCTTTTTTTCTGTTGAACTCAAAAGAAGATATTCTGAAGTAGGTTTGAAACCAGTAACCATTGGCTTCCATAGTATGTCTAAATATGGATGTCAATGGTTACAGGTTTCCAGCTTTCTTCAGCATATAGTCTCTGAGGTTCAGCAGAAAAAAAGAATCTCGTAGAGGTTTGTAAATACGGCTGCACAACATATAATTTCAGCACTGATATCGCAGTTTGTTGATCGCAATAGCCACATCGCAAGATCTGCAAAGTTGAGTATGTTTTATAATTGATCACTTGCATGTTTTTGAGGTCCTTAACTGTATAATGATTTTAAGAGCATTTTAGGCATAAGAAATCGTACCTTTTGCAACTTTAAAAAGCTTTATTAAATTATTTTTTCTATTTTTATTATTCTGTAACTGTACCCGAGTACTGTTAAGGCTGATTTATACTTCTGCATCAAGCGCACGGGTATGCTCCAGCACAGCCTTTGTAGGGTCGCAAAACCCTCACAGTGGCTGACACCGACACTGACGAGTACCTCTCGAAAAATGTAACTACAAGTCTCAACAATGCGTAGTGCCAACTTTGTGATTGATGGTTGTTGCTAGAGAGGATATGGTTGCGGCTGGAAGTTAACGCGAATAATTTATATTATTTATTACATTTCCCATTTATTGTATTTTATTAACGTCCACACCCACCCCAACCCTAAATATTAATTATTGTTATACAGTGTCATAAACAATGGTGGTATATAGCTGAATTCAGTATTATTAGCCCCCCTTTAAATTGTTTTTTAAATATTTCTCAAATTATGTTAAACAGAGCAAGGAAATTTTCACAGTATGTCTGAACATATTTTTACTTCAACAGAAAGTCTTTTTTTTTATTTGGCTGTAATAAAAGCAGTTTAAAAAATTTTATGAACCCTTTTAAGGTCAAAATTATTAGCCCCTTTAAGCTATATTTTTGTTATACAATAACTTGCCTAATTACCCTAACCTGCCTAGTTAAATTAATTAACCTAGTTAGGCCTTTAAATGTCACTTTAAGCTGTATAGAAGTGTCTTGAAAAATATCTGGTCAAATATTATTTACTGCCATCATGGAAAAGATAAAATAATTCAGTTATTAGAGAGATGAGTTATTAAAACTATTATGCTTAGAAATGTGTTGAAAAAAATAATTATCTCCGTTAAACAGACATTGGGGTACAAAATAAACAGGGGGGTGGGGGGGGGGGATGTGGAGGCTAATAGTTCTGACTTCAACTGTATTAATGTGCATATCGCATTTCCAGCCGGCCGCATATCCAATCTAGATTTTACCATGATCATGGATCGACTTGGTGGCTGTGCTGAGAGCCAAGGGCCCAATGAAGCAAATGTTAACAAGTGATGAGTCCCGTGAAGGAGCTCTGGATGTAAACTTTTGTTTTGTTACCTTGTGTTTAATGCACCTTTGAATAAGAGTTTGAGCTACTTCTACATAAAGGTAGCGTTCAGAAAAAACAAAACACTCGCGAAGAAACTTGACAAAGAGGAACAAACACCTACTGCCAGCTATCAACATAAACAAGCATGGCAGCCGATCACTCGGCACAGAAGTATAATCAGCTTTAGATTCTGAAAACGATAAAACACTGTTTAGTTTAATAGTATCTCTCTTTTTTAATTGTGTTTCTCAATGCTTGTGGATTGTTTATTAGATTTTATGTAGATGCACTCCACACAGAATCAACCCAATGGATCTAAAATTATACATTCTTTCCAAATAGAGCTATTCCAGTCATCTGGAGAAATTGTATACATATGACAATATACAGTATGTCGTAGAATAAAAAAAATGTTAGATTGCCAGATTGTTATTATTTAAATATTAGCAATGTTGGATTTTTCCTATATCGTGTGGCCCTATTTGGAACCACTTGAGACAGATAGAAAATAGTGTGTCAAATTGTCATTTTTGGCCGAACTATCCCTATGGCTCAATAATGATAAACTTTGATTTGTGTGCATAATATAACAGAAGAGTGTTTGAATTCAATGGTTTATTATGACACAAAACAAAAACGCAATAGTATGAATGACAGGATATGAGGTGGCAGCTGTCAATTACTGACTGGTGTGTGTGGCATGCACTGACTCACTGTCATACATTACAATACAGCGAAAACAAACAGGAAGCTCAGACAATGGGGTCAATATATGAGATGGAGGAAGCACACGGTGACACACGTACGTCGTTCTGACACCGATGACATCATTAAGATATTCATAAGATTTCCTTCATCCTGATCTCTTCACCTTTTTTCACACACTCAAACAAACACACGCACACATTCTCAACGCAAGGCCCTGTTTATTTAGCTGAGAGTTGTTATTCATGCAGCATTCCTCCAGCAAAAGGGGGTTGTAACCCGTCTTGTTTTTTGGCTAACCTACTTTGTAAACGTACGGACACAAACAGAACAAAATTATGCACCAAAATAGTCCTGTGAATCATCAATATGCAGTATCTCTGAGTTTGAAGGATGACTGTTCAAATTATACTTCACACGCATGGTGAATGCTAACAGACTCATAACAGTGCTGTACCAAAATAATCCATCCGCTACAAACAATCAGCACCCGCTTCTAAAATAAGCACATACAAATGGAGGACAAGATGGGACAAGAGAGACAAGGGTGAGGTATCTGCCCTCTGGCACTGCTCGCGAATATGCTGCAATAAAGCAACTGCAGCCTCCTCATGTGGAAATATCAGACCGTTTCATTCTTTCTTTCTTTTTTGTATTTGTTTTTAAGGTGATTGCACAAACATTTTGGATATTTCATTGGTTGATATACTGGTATTTTCTGTTGAATTATAATGGGTAAATCTTAATAAATTTCATATTATATCTAATCGTGTTCATAACATGCATACATTAGTGACTATTTAAAAATCTGGAATTTTGGGGTTCACAAAAAAAAAATCTAAAATTAAGTTTTGATTTATTTACGGAAGCAAATTTACCAAACAATCTTCCTTAAAACATGATTCTAATGATGATGATTATAATTCGAATGATTTTTGTCATGAATGTAAAATCTATAATTTGTGTCATATGATCCATGCAATGTATGCGATTTCCAAAATTGAAACAAAACAGTTTTTGCATCTACAGTAAGGAATATTAGGCATTAAAAACACTGGATTACACTCTTAGAATTATTTAAAACATTAAAGACAATGGTTTACACCCTTATAAATAATCAAAACAATCTAAAACTTAATTTATAACACACAAGGGTCACATTGGGTAATGCACATTTTGCATCTATAGTACGGGATATTAAGCATTAAAGACACTTGATTACACCCTTAAATGTTTTTAAAGCATTAAAGACACTGGATTACACTCCTTATGATTATTTAAAACATTTTAAAACTAAATCAAAAATTTTATTTAATGGCTTCTGATTAAATACATTTATTTACAACTAACTTAATACGTGTATTTAAGACATTCTCTCTCAAAAACACACAGGTCACATTAGGTTAATGCGCATTTTGCATCTATAGTAAGGCATATTAAGCATAAAAAACATTAAATACAATGGTTTACACCCTTATAAATAATCAAAACAATCTAAAACTTAATTTATTACACACAAGGATCACATTGGGTTAATGCACATTTTGCATCTATAGTATGAGATATTAAGCATTAAAGACACTGGATTACACCCTTAGAATGTTTTTAAAACTGTAAAGACACTGGATTACACCCCTTATAATTATTTAAAACTACCTAAAACTTATATAAATGTTGTATTAAACTAACGGAATAAATATATTCTAAACAAACTTAATTAGTTTATTTAAGACATTCTCACACACACAATGGTCACATTTGGTTAATGCCCATTTTGCATCTATAGTAAGGGATATTAATCATTAAAGACACCGGATTACACTTTTATAATCAAAAATGTAATCAAACGTTAGTTTAACTGCTTCTGACTGAATACACTTATTTGAAGCTAACTTAATTAGTTTATTTAAGACATTCTCAAACACACGGGTCACATTTGGTTAATGCACATTTTGCGTTTACAGTAAGTGATATTAAGCATCAAAGACACTTGATCACACATTTAGAATTATAAAAAAAAAATAAAAACACTAGATTACACCTCTTATTATTATTTTAAACTACCTAAAACTCAATTAAATGTTGTATTAAACTGCTTCTGACTAAATAAATGTAATCAAAACTAAGATAATTCGATTATTTAAGACATTCTCACAAACGCACACAAACGGGCACACACACACACACTCTTGTGCGGATCACATCTACATCATTTTGCATCTACAGTAAATAATATTAAGCCTTTAAGACACTGGATTACACCCTTAAAATTATTGACAACATTTAATACACTGCATTACATCCTTATAATTATTTAAAACATTCTAATATTTAATTAAATGTTGTAATAAAATGTTTCTGATTTAACAAATTCGAAACTACACACATATATCCAATTCATCCAGACATGCTTAAATGTGACCCACAGTTACTCTTCAACAGCTCGGCAAGAGAGACAGAGGGCAAATGCAAAACTCAGAGCAAAAGTACTGCTGAAAGAGAATGTAAACAAAAGACAAATTCCTCAGGAGGAATGCAACTCAATGTGTGGAAGGTGAGTGGAAAAACAATGGGCTTTAAAACTTAAGAGGAAGCAGAAAGTTGCACAAGAGGTTTAAAAGGAGATACTGTTTGCTGCGAGAGGGGGAGAAGGAAACGGCAAGCACTGGGATATGGGTTAACAGAGTCAGAAGGAGAGAGTGAAAAGTTCTCCTTTACCCGTCTGTGTTCTTAAGTGAACTGGTGGAGCGAGAGCGGGGCTTCATGATAATGCTCATTCTGGACCTCCTTCTGTTAGCGGCTACGGCTAATCCCAGCGGTGCGCGCTTGTTTTCAGTCCTCACGTGTGTGTGGGTCTCCAAGCGTGGACATGACTCACTCCTGCCTCGGTTTTCTCCACTGACAGTAGCACCTTTTTTCCTGAGACTCAAACCCTGGCTGGACAAACGCTCCAGTGTTTGCTTCACTCAGCAACCGGCTGATATAATGCAAGACAATCCTTCTCTCTCTCTCTCTTTCTTTCTCTCTCTCTCTCTCTCTCTCTCTCTCCTGAAACTCCCACCCAATGTACTCTCCTCCCTCCCTTCCTCTCTGGCTGCAGGGCTCACTGTTCGGACTCGTGTAGTAGTGACACAGACGGGGGAAGGGCAACTCTGGTGATTGAGACAAAAGGAGGAAACTTACACCACAGTTTGAAAGAGCATTCAGATGACAGGGACAAATGAAAGGTGAGAGATCCCAGCAGATGTTTAGTTGAAGTCAGATATTTCCCAAATGATGTTTAACGGAGCAAGGATTTTTTTTTTTCACATAATTTACTATAAGATTTTTTTCTACTGGAGAACGTCTTGTTTGTTTTATTTCGGCTAACATAAAAGCAGTTTTTATATTTTTTAAAAACCATTTGAATTCAATATTATTACTATCTTAAGCCATATATTTTTGATTGCCTACAGAACAAACCATCAGGGATTTATTACTAATTGTGAACAGTGAACAGTGAACTTATTACTAATTACTAACTTTGTAACTAATTAACAAAGACACACCTTTAAATGTCACTTTAAGCTGTATACTAGTATCTTGGAAAATATCTAGAAAATATTATCTACTGTCATCATGGCAAGGAAAAAAGAAATCAGTTATTAAAACTATTACTTTCAGAAATCTTCCTGTGAATCAGAAAATGGGGGGGGGGGAAATAAACGGAGTATAATTATTCTGACTTTAACTGTATATACTCCCAAATATCATAGGGAAGGAGTTGCCAAAAACTATCAATTCATTCATTCAGGTGTGAAATTGCACATCTGGTGTGACGTGGAAATTCAAAAGCATTTCATTTGTCACACAGTCATGCACATTGTGTTGGAGTAACACATTAAGTAATGCAAATTACTTGATTAAATTAAAGTAACACATTACTTTAAAAAATTAAGTAGTAATATTTGAGTTATGGGGCTGCACAATGGAGCAGTGGGTAGGGCTGTCGCCTTTCAGCAAGAAGTACGCTGGTTCGAGCCTCGGCATGTTCTCCCTGCCTTTGTGTGGGTTTATCCGGGTGCTCTGGTTCCCCTCACAAGTCCAGAGCACATGTGGTACAGGTAAGTTGAATTAGGCTAAATTGTCTGTAGTGTGTGTGTGTGTGTGTGTGTCTGTGAATGAGTGTGTATGGGGGTTTCCCAGTGAAGGGTTACAGCTGAAAGGGCATTCGCTGTGTAAAACATGTGCTGGATAAGTTGGCGGTTCATTCCGCTGTGGTGACCACAGATTAATAAAGAGACTAAGCCAAAAAGAAAATGAATATTTGAGTTACTTTAAAACTTATCCAACATGTGTTTTATGGAACGGATGCCCTTCCAGCTGCAACCCATAACAGGGAAAAGTAGTTAAATCACTTTTAAAAAGTAAGTTGCTGAATTAAAATGAAAGTAGTCGCGTTGAATCCTGCACATAATGAGAGAATGCAGGAACAGGCAGAAATGAAGATGGCAGAGCTTTACATTTCTGCAATGGAAATATTCTCATTATTTTGAACACATGGAAGTAAAGGAAAAGAGGATTGTCTCAATGGACAGTGATTTTCAGTTACAGTGAGTTTACAAAAAGTACAAAAGTAGCAAACACATTGCTTTAAACGTTCAATAATCTGTATTCACGGCATGTATAGCCCTGGGCTCAGGAAATTCTTCGAAGACAACATTATCCTACTTTCATTTTTGTGTGTGTTTGGTGTGTGTGTGTGTGTGTGTGTGTGTGTGTGTGTGTGTGTGTGTGTGTGTGTGTGTGTGTGTTTGTGTTTTGAGGTAAATGGAGGGTACACAGTGTGTTGTTAATTGCAGAGCTCCTCTAGCCTAAGGTCAGAAAATGTAACGAAAAAGTAACTCAAAAGTAACATAACACATTACAAATCATAAAAAGTAATTAAGTAACACAACTAGTTACTTTTTTAGGGAGCAATATTGTAATGCATTACTTTCTATAGTAACTTCTCCCAACACTGGTCATGCACTGATGTTAAATAAAGAACCTTTTCGGGTTCACCAAATAATCTTACTGTCAACAGTTCAGTAAAGAAATTTATAAAGTGTGTTTAACATTTATTCACTTTATAGAACTTTTTTTTTCAGCAGAAATGAAAAATTCACATAAATGGCTCCGGCACTTTGACAGCCAAAGTAAAAAATAAGCAAAACCATACATAAAGGATTCATGGAGCTCAATGATTAGTTTGTGCAAAACATTTACAATAGAATTACTATTAATCAACAGCCTCAGCAAAGGGTCCAAACATAGTGATAACTGTTTTGGAAACACTGCTTCCTCTGGAACCTTTAAAATAGCTTTTATTAATTCATATAATTAATAGTAGTTAATAATCTGCCCTGTTTAACTGAGGGCTTCGTAAATCAAACAAAACAAGTCCTGCACGTTATATTAAAAAATATCATGCATTTATAGGTATATATAAATTTATAGGTATTGGATGATTAGCCAACTGCATTTGATAGATTACACTTCTAACAAAACATCTGCTATGGGTTTATAAAAGCAGTATTGAGGAATGTTGTTTTCATGAATATTTGTTGTATTTACAGGGTTTTGACCAGCAGGTAGAGCAGCTTGCAGTATCTCAAGCACTTTTATAAAGTGAATCATTTCGCAAATCAATTGATTCAAAGCCTTGAAAAGATTTGTTTCTACGATGATTTAAATGCAAGAATTTTGTTTTGCCTGTATTTTTTTTTTACTCTCAAAGTGCTGGTACCCACTGACTTCCATTTTATGAATAATCAATAAATTTTTAGCTAAAAATCAGCTTTAATGTTCAACTGAAGAATTCTACCACGTCCTAGGTGAGTTTTGTACTATAAATTTTGTGGTTTTGGGGGTTAACTCTTGCTTTAAAGATCTTTCATGGAGCCATAGGTGTTTAAGAGCGTATTACAAACACTTTTACTGCTTTACATGCACAGTGACCAACATTAAATGTCTGAAAAGACAATAAGAGCTTGTAAAACATCACTGAAAAAAAAAATAAGTTGTACTGAATGTGATGTACTGTTTTCCAATGTTTCAACAAAGAACAGGGAACACACATGACTGTGCTTGTCTAGTTTTGCGGGAGCTGATCTCCCACTGCGACTAACGCTTCACACATTAACCCATGCCAAGGGCCCTCAGAGGTGCTCCAGTGACGCATTACCTACGTCAGCCAATGACAACACATCAGCTCCGCCTACTGATGATTTCTTTAAACATTCAGACAACAGGCTTGACTTAATTATCAGTGAATGCTTTCAAATGTCCGATTACAAGCCATTAGCTCTGGAGAAACATCGGTCAGCTCTAAATAATGGGAAACATTATTTAGAAATAAACTGATTTAGGGGGACACGTGTTTATCTGGTTATATCACAATATTAACAGCTGATCTACAGTATGTTTGTGCGCATCGTTGCCCCCCCCCCTGTGTCCGAGACAGATTAAGGCAGATAAAAATCAAGAACATCTCCAAACAAAGCCAGTTAGAGAGCAAAAATACAACTGTAGGTATTAAATTAGGCACTTTAGAATTAATTACCCATAAATAAATTTGTTTTCAATCCAGCATACTGTCATTGCAGTATATTGCAAATATGTCAGGTTTGAAGTTTTTTTAAAGAAATGTTTGCTATAAAATAAACATATAAATGTATGATGCAGAAATCTGCTGACTATTTTCCATCATTTATGACTAGTTTAATTAACGGTATAGTAAGATTACCATCCTGGTTTGTTAGGTAATCATAGGTTTAAAATAGCTCTTAAATGTAGTGTTGTTTTCATATTTATGATTATGTTTATGTAGTCTTGCAGGAGATGACATTTCTTTCCACTGTATATCCACAAATGTAGTGAAATGACAATATTAGCTTGACCTAACCAAAATTGGGAAATATTTTTAAATCGTCAAAATGTAAACCTGCTAAATGTGGTGTAAACATGGAAAACTATAGTAAACAGTGCTCCTTCATAGTATATATGATTTTTTAAAAAGTTATTTAATAAATGTTATTAATTTAAATATTTATTTAACAAGTGATTTTAAATGTTTTATTTTTTTAAATATGGGTAAAATATTTTAAGTATATGTGTATTTAGTAAAAACTTTTCAGTCATTTTGAACCACTTATTTAATTGTATTTGTTTGATTTACTGTTTTTATAAAACCATTTTCATAACAAGATGATAATATAAACACATATACAAGTCCACAATGGCTTTCAGCTATTTATAAATAATAAACAATTAATTTAATTACTTTCAGACTATTTTTAGCAAACTGACTGTATTAAAATAAACACAGCAATGACAACACAGAAAACATGTGACAACTTAACTCGATAAATCAAGGTGACAACGTGACCCGTTTGACATTTATAAAAATTAAGCCAGTGTTCAATTATATAATGTGTCCCAGTGCGGTTTTAGCCTCCTTACTTGATCACTAAAGTGCTAAAACAAAAACATGCATCAAAATATAGATTTGAAAATCATTAAAAAAGTTTTAAACTAAATTAATGCAATTGAACATCTATGCTAAGCAATATTTACACCTCTTAAACACTAGTGTGGCCTACTAAGACATTATAAAACGTAAATTTTAAACCCTATTCAATATTTAAGAGCTCATGTACCTGCGGGACTTGAACCAGCGCTTCCGTTTCTTGCCTTTCAGTGAGTTTATATCAAACTGACGGCCGTTCCAAACGAAAGAGCTGAGAAAGTGGGAAAGTGGAGAATTGCCTGGAGATTCACTAGCCATGGTGTCCTGAGGAAAACTGACAGCTTGACTGTTCTCAGATAAGAGAGCTTCAGCTTTGTGCGAGGAAAATGTCCACGTCACTACACTGACCTCATCCCATAATCCAATAACACCTGTCTGGCCTTCTCGCATTCAGCTGCCATGTCTGTAACACAAGCTTCAGTGCTGGAAAACTGCGCGTGAAACTGTGACAAGAATGCAATCTGCTCGGACAGATAATGGTTTTGTAAACTGCTAGGTGAAAATGAAATCATCAGAGAAAAAAGGAAAGTCAAGATTTTTAAGCATGCAGTAATTATTTTGATAAGTGTGTTATGAAACTTGGGAAGCATATTTAAGTATTTAAATCCAATGTAAACTAATAAAAGGATTAATAAAAAAGAGACAATTGCTCAGTAAAAAATAAAATAAATAAATAAATAAATAAATAAATAAATAAATAAATATATATATATATATATATATATATATATATATATATATATATATATATATATATATATATTTTTTTTTTTTTTTTTTTTTTGGATATATTACATTCTAATAAGCGTGGTATGAAACATTTTGACATGTTGTTTGAGAAGAGTATTCTAAGTAGAGCTGCACGATATTGGAAAAATCTGACATTTGGATGTTTTGATTTGCTGTGATATATGTTGCAATATGAATACAATTTCATACAATTGATGACTTGAATAGCTCTATTTGGAAAGATTTCATTTTATTCATTTAAGTCTTTTTCTATGCATAAATTACAATAAATTACAAACAAAAAAAAAACAAAAAATAAACAGTGCTTTTTGGTTTTCTGGGGGGTCTATCAATACAATCAAATGTAAAATAACATGGTCATCATTGTATAAATAATCATAAAACTAATATTATTTAATAATATCTTTATCTTTTACACTTTATTCAATAATATAATCCTGCGATATATATATATATATATATATATATATATATATATATATATATATATATATATAAATATATATATATATATATATATATATACACACATACACACACACACACACATATATATATATATATATATATATATATATATATATATATATATATATATATATATATATATATATATATATATTACCCACGCGAACGCAGGGAGAACATGCAAACTCCACACAGAACCACACAGAAACTCCACACAGAAACCACTACATGCGCTATAGGTGAACAGGATGAACTAAATTGGCCATGGTGTATGAGTGTAAATGTGAGAGTGTATGGGTGTTTCACAGTGAGCCGAAGGAAAATGAATGAATGAATGAATGAATGAATGATACAAATTATATATGCATTTAAATATCTATGTGAAAAAAAGTTTTGTACAGTTGTTTTATGTATGTGCTTGTATCACATATACATAATAAATATATACAATCCACATATATATAATGTCAAAACAAACTTTAATTTTGGATGTGATTGATCTTTGCCCATCAGTAGCACTGTTAAAATATTATTATCATTATTAATAATAATAATAATAATAATGATTTTTAGGACCAATAAAAGAAATGCCTATTCAGCAAGTCAGAACTGCTTAAATGTCATTAAATGAACTGTCAAATTATTAGTTAGGAGGCCACGATGGACAGAGAGGCCAGTGGGCAAATTTCACCAGGATGCTGGGGTAAACCCCTACTCTTTCCTGGGATTTTTAACGCTCACAGTGAGTCAGGACCTCAGTTTAACGTCTCATCCGAAAGACGGCGCTCACTGAGCAGTATAGAGTCAATATCAATATACTGGGGCATTGGGACCCACACAAACCACAGGTTGATTGCCCCCTGCTAGTCTTACCACTACTTCCCATCCAAGAACTGACTGGGCACAGCCCTGCTTAGCTTCAGTCGGCGACCATGTGAGAGTTGCAGAGTGCTAGCTCATGGAATATGTCAATATGGAACATTTTGGCTGATATCAATAACCGATAGCTATTTTAATCTGGAGACAGCCAGACAATATATTAGCCAATAAATAAACAAAAAGCAAACACATACAATGAATAGGGCTGCTCGATTATGAAAAAAATCATCATCACGATTATTTTGGTAATAATTGTAATCCCAATTATTCAAAACAATTACAGTTGAAGTCAAAATTATTCGCCCCAATTTTTATAAATATTTTCTAAATGATGTTTAACAGAGCAAGGAATTTTTCATAGTATTTCCTAATATCATTTCTTCTGGAGAAAGTCTTATTTTAATTTGGCTCGAATAAATGCCGGTTTACTGTTTACTGTCATCATGGCAAAGATCAAATAAATCAGTTATTAGATTTATTAAAACTAGAGTTTTAAAAGAGTTAGAGTTAGAGTTATTAAAACTATTATGCTTAGCAATGTGTTGAAAAAACTCTCCATTACACAGAAATTGGGGAGGAAAGAGCCGCTAATAATTCAGGAGGGCTAATAATTCTGACCAACTATATATACAGTTATTTTCCTCCCTGTAAATAAGGGGAAATAAATGAAATAGAATAAAAATATGAAACAAACTGTGCTTGAAGCATTTTCACTGTAAGAAAAACACTTTAATTATAGCTACTAAAGTCCTTCAGTCAAGAGCAGTGAGTGATTTTGTCTTTTTATTATTTGATTAATGATAAAAACAGTCAGCAGCAGCTGTCAGTTCTGAATAATGGTTGCACTATCAAATGTCTTTTGATTCCAAACACCTTTGTTTATTACACAAAAGAGGGTTAATATGAATAATCTCTAAACACCGCGTTTTGACACAAATTTGCATGCATTTGACCATAAAAGCGCTCACATTAAGATGACATTAGATGCGTGTGTTCTACTCGTCTCTGAGGCTGAGCGCTTTTAAAAACATGAATGATTCAAATGTACAATCAATGTGTGATGCGTATCTCATGCTGCAAACGCTACATTGCAGTACATGCTTTTAGTAATATTCACGTGAATCTGAGCTTTGCAGAGCAACAAATGTGTACAACTGGAAAGGGGGCGCTATATTATGCAATAATCCTTTTATCTTGATTAATGTCTTTTCATAATCGTTAAAAGCCAAAATCGAAATTGAAATTGAATTTGCACAGCTCTAACAATAAACAACAATTAACTTAAGAAGAGTTTCAGCTGATCTCTGGTCTATTTATTTTGTCATTGGAACGATAACAACAATATAAAAAATATAATTTATCGGCCGATATCAATATGCATGCCAATATATTGTGCATTCCTAATTTAAAATACTACAAAAATACAAGTATAAACATTCAAAAGGCTTAAGCAAACGTTATCAGAATAAATGTTATATTAAATGCTTTATATTAAGTGCAAAGTGATTGACTAACTAGTGTTTTAAAAGTGCTGCTACTTGTTTCTTTCAAAACTGAAAAGACATTTGAAGAGCTTTTACAGCTCATGGTCTTTAAGTCCTGTTAAAGTCTTTGAGCCGACCCTGATGCTGTGTCATCAGAAAAGTCACCTATGGTCAAATGTAATGTAAACTGAGGGGACGTTTTAAATCCGTTACAATCCCGTGAACACTCAGTTCATGCAAATAACGAGCATTATACATGCAGATAGGGTCAGTTATACCTTAAACAAACAGGTATGATTATTTTACATGTACAACTATCATTACAGCATTTATTCATAATTGATTAATTAAAGTGAAGAAAAAATGTTCCCTGCTGTCTGTTCAGAAGTACTACACTCATAGCAGATGGTAGGTGTCCTGAAAAATACTCCTGCACATGCATTCATCTCTATATCACACTCTCACTACTTCCAGTTACTGATAAAAATAAACCATCAGAAGATCATTTAAGAAAAACAAAGCTATTTTAGAAGTGTTGAATATGTTCTGGATCTGAATAAATGTGCTAATCCTCCAACTCACGACTACTTGGATGATACAAAGCCATGCACAGAATTCGGCAACATTATTGCCAGGATGCTAGCTGAATAAAGTACACAACACGAAGGATTTGAATCAGTCCGTGCCACTATATTGAAAAAAAAGAATCAAAAGAGGGATCTGTACATTTATGAAGGTACATTTAAGACTTTTTAATGCCTTGTTGAGATTGAGTAAAGGAAATGTGATGAAATACACATCAATATGATTTCTATAATTAAATCTAGGAGCACACAGTGAGTTTTGTTAGTAACTTCAAAGTTTCAACAAATCCAACTTTGCAGCAATCTCCATTACGTCTTTAATTAAGTTATAAATATTTCATCTTTGATTAATATTTCATCTCATCATTTGTTTCTTTAAAAAATATATATTTTCCATTTAGTAGATGTATATCTACCTGGTGCCTGAAAAAAATAAAGAAAAAAAAAAAAAAAAAAAAAAAAATATATATATATATATATATATATATATATATATATATATATATATATATATATATATATATATATATATATATAAGGATTAAAACTCCTTTTTTTTGTAAATTCAGTGGTTTTCTTTAAAATTGGAGGACATTACAAAGTTCCAGCATTACAAAGTGATTAAAAATGTGACAGAGCTATTGTCTCAACAACAATCTGAAATGAAATTCTGTGTTGTTTAATTCACAAATGTTTAATTTTCAATATGTAAATATTTAGATTGCTTCATTAATATTGGTTTTCCAGTATGAAGACAACAGTGCTTAGAAGTTTAAAACAGGGACACATCGATATGTATAATTTTGGCTGATATAAATAATGAATATGAATAAATGATATATTGGCCAATTTGACTCTTTAAGGCCTTATTGCGGTTGAGTAAAGAAAATGTGATGGAATATACATCAATATGTTCTCTATAATTAAATCTATAACGAGCACACAGTGAGTTTTGTAAGTAACTTCAAAGTTTAAAAAAATCCATCTTTGTACCAACCTCCTTTGACAATCTCCATTACTACTCCTTAAGCCCATTACTTTGACAATCTCTATGACAATCTCCATTAATTTGACAAAAAAGGCCATACGGTTTTAACATCTTTT